GGCCGCGCGCCCGAGAGCAGGGGCTTGCGCCCTTCATGCCAAGATTCTCGGACCCCTTGACCCCCAACTTCGGCACACAGTGACATCAGGACAACACATTCTCCCCACTACGTTACCGATATATTTCACTTTTAACCCCGTCCCCCCATTTGACCCCCCCATAATTACCCACGCGCCCACCAGCCCCTCTCCTTCTCTAACCAAGACAAGCCGTGGCTGTCCTTGTCTCGAAACCGCCACCCAGCTACGGACCATTAGTTACATATTTGAACCAATAAGGAAACACTTACCGGGCGCTGCTGTCACTCTCCCTCTCCCTCTCTCTCTGCCTCTCTCCCACTCTGTCTTTCTCGTCTTCCCTCATTCTGTGCCGCTGCTGAGCCTGTCTCAGCTCCACACACATATACTTCATATAAATTTAAAAATTAAAAAGAAAAGTCCTAATAATTTTTTAAAAGCCAGATAAAATGGAGAGTTGCAGGAAAGGGCAGGAAGGAGAGTCTGGGAGAGGGGAGTGGTGGAGGCTTCTGCAGCTCCGGTCTCAGCTCCCACTCCGGCGTTCCTCCTGCCCCTTGGGGGCCAGAGGGTCGGGTGTAGGGAGAGAGAGAGGGGTGCCCTCAACTCTTGCCTCTCCTCTCCCACCCCTCCCTTCCCAGGTGCCCCCAGCTTCCGGCAACTCCACCGGGGAGGAAAAAAATTAAAGGGAGGGGATTATTAATCAGATTAATTTTTAAAAATTACTGGTAATGAAGGGAGCACCCAGCGCAGGTTTCCCTGGCATTGGTTAGGCCCTTACAGGGATACAGGGAGGACTGTTCTGCGGAGCGCTCGGAACGGACAAACCACAATAAAAAGTTCACGTTCATGGATGGAATCCACATGACTTCTTGTGGCCAATCCAACTTGTGAGTCGATCGTAAACTTTTATTACTCAGCTGTAAATTTTCTGCAAACAACCGGGAATGCGATGCATTTGTGTAGCGTGTGCAAATGGGCGCCACGGTCGCCATGTTTACCCAATTCTCTCAGAAAGGGAGCATCCCCGACCCCCACCCCACCCCCACCCACCGCCCACTCCCTAAGGGCCGGCTGTTCCAGACTAGCACAGCCATAGCCAACAGGGGATGCAGGGAGGGGAGAAGGAAGGGTTCAGGACCTGGAGGTCGACTGCCTCCTCTTGTGCCGAATTTTTAATATTTTTCTTAATAAGTAGAGGTAATAAGGTTGTATCTGAGTGAGATCTAAGCTTTGCAAAGATCTGCAGCCATGGGGCAGTGAAGGCTGATGAGATGAAGGGTTGGAAAATGAATACCCCCCCCTTTCCTACTTTTTCTTTTACTGGAATGAGAACACATCTTCCCTACCAGTACGCAGGGGGCAAGCCCCCACTCCCCACTAGACAGAAACTGGAGTCTCATGTGGTTGGCAGCCCTCCCAGCCAAGCCTGCCCCAGACGGAGTCTAAAGCAGGAGTTCTGGACCTGCCCTGAGCAGTCCTGTGGAGGCAGAAGAGGGTGCTAGGACCCTCTAAATGACCCTCATCCCTAAGTGGTCCTTATTTCAGACAGAATGCCATTCCCCACCCCAAGACCATCCTTCCTTAGCTTCCTGTCTTCTTGTTTTCTAGCTTTTAAAAGGAACTTGCAGTCCTCCAGCAACTGAAAATAATTTTAAGCCCATGGTCTTGGTCCCTACTTCTTTTTTCTTTGGGGTACAATAGACTTTGAAACCTTTTCTGGTTGCCAAACACCTGCCCTTTTCAGAAAAATTGTCTCCTTTAGTGTCTGGGCAGCTGGAACCTGGCTAAGGGCTTCCGATGCTCCTCAAAAAAGCCATTTACTGCTCTGAACTCTGCCTTCCGCACTAAAATTCTAAGCACCTCATTTCTCCAGACCCCCAATTTTGGTAGTAAGTCCAGTGTGGGGAGGCCAGAATAAATTCTCCCACAGAGACTATTTGTTGGGTCCCAGTCTAGCCACCACCCCCACCCCCACTGACTGGAAATCTGAAGGCGGGCTCCTCTCTCCTCCGTTGGCCTTGAGCTGGCCAGGGAACCTTAGTAGCTGGGTGCTACCCCAGCCAACAGGGGACCCTTCATCCCCTCCCCAAACTTCCTCCACGGTAAGCAAAGCAGTTCTCTTAGCCGGATGCAGAGACCTCGTTTCTTTTACAAACCCACCCATAAATTTTATAACAGGTAGTTAAAAATTACGACGAGGAAGCCGCTGGCCCAGCTTCTCACAATGGGCAGCAGGAGAATGGGACCCCGCTGTGGGCAGCTCACCGGAAATTTCACCTCTAGACTGTGGCACACAACCTGTCCTGAGTCTTCTATAATTGGAGCCAGGGGGTACTTTTCAGCCGGTCACTAGGCCATCTCATACCGGGAAGATAAGACTGGGGAGGCCAGCCTACCCTCTCATTACAGGGTTCCCCGGGGCGTCCCTCAGGGAAACACTATTTCCCTTGATGCCCCATATTTTTCCAAGCCCCAGCATCTCCCTTGGGGGTGCAGTGAGAGTGCGGAGGGAGAGAAAATGCGGAGGGTTTTTGTTTTTGTTTTTTTTTTAATTCAGAGAAACGAATTTGCCCCCCAACTTAATAGCTGCATTATCCTGTCTCTGCTGTTGAGATTAGAATAATAAATCCAAGGCGAAATGAGCGAGATGCTTCAACTCAGCATTTTGAAAGATACTATTTTTCACAAATCACAAATAGCTTTCGGAAGCTACTTTGATTGGCTAATAAAAAAGTAAAGAATGGAAGAAAGTCGTATCTGCAGCAGCCGAATGGTACCCATTCCGGTAATGGGACAGCGGCAGCATTTGGGAGGACGCATTTCTATAGAGAGCGCATATAGAAAGCGCATCCCGCTCTCGCAATTACGTTCCCCCATAAAATGGGGTTTTAGGCTCCTTTTCTCTCCAAAGGAGAAAACAGAAGCGGTGGGCAAGGAGAATAAGGGGGAGGGTGCCGCATTAGGGGGTGCAGGGGTTCCTTTGGTCTGACCCTCCCCTTGCTCAACATTTCCAGCGAAGCCGGGCGCCAGACGCACCCCGCCCTCAGACGCGACGCTTGGGGCCACGGGCATTGCTGAGCTGGGCCAGGGATGAACCCAGCATTTGGTGTGTGTGTGGGGGAGCTGCAAGGCTCTTCAGAGCCATTTAACGCAAGCTTCATCTTGCTCGGCTACTGGGCAGGATATATAGTTTTATTAATAGCAATAATAATTTCAGGATTAAAAATGAAACGGCTCTCCCTCGGCGGTTACCCTGAGTCTGGTGGGCAGGCCCGAGGTCGGAGTGAAATGCTCTGTTTTCTGGCCTCCCTGGCCAATGGCCGATTCCTCCCCAGTCAAACCGGATCACATAGCAGGCTACAGGGACCCCAGATTCACAGAGTTCCCCCCAAGGTCCTGCTTAAAGTTGTCTCCAGCCTGCGCTTCCACCCAGCAGCCTTTATTGGACAGCCGAAGTTACTAGGAACATCACCTGACCAAAATCCTGTACTACTTTGCTTAGGCGGCATCGGGACCCTAATGAAATTATTGTCCAGGGCCTAGGTTAAAAAAAATCATTGACCTAGAAGAAGAGGGGAAGAAGGGGTTGAGAGAGAGAGAGGGAGAGAGAGGGGGGAGGGAGGGAGGGAGAGAGAGGGAGAGAAAGAGAGAGAGAGGGGGAGAGAGAGAGGGAGAGAGAGAGAAAGAGAGAGAGAGGGAGAGAGAGAGAGAGGGAGATCTGGTCTCAAAAATATCTGTCTTTGGGGGTCTGGTTTTGAAGACCAGAAGTTCTCCTCCCCTCTCCCTCTCTTCTAGATGAGTCAGAAGTCTTGTATCTCTGGAATTTGAGATTATTTGACCAGAATCTTATTGGTATAAACAGATTTGTCTGCTTAGGACCCTCCAGAACAATCCCTTTTCTTTTCTCACTGGATCCCTGAGCCTTCAACTCTTTAGGAAATGATTCCAATGGGGACTCCTTCTCTTACTATGTTGTGGCTGGGGTTGGGGGCTGAACACTCAGCAGGCCTGTCATGGTCCTCCCAGACCAGTGGTCCTCACTATGGCGGCCAGGCAAGCTGCTCAATTGCCAAGGTGAAGCCAGCCAGGAGCTGGCTTGAAACAGCTAGAACAGAGGCTGAATGGACACAAGGGGGCTGAGAGGAGGAGTGATAGCCCTGGACTGGTGGAATTTGAATTCCAGGATGCAGACCAAGGCTCTTTGGTCTATCAGCTCACCCATTCCCCCTTCCCCCCTGCCAAGGTGAAAGCTTCCTCATCACCACACTTTGGCATTTTCCAGCTACCTTGAGCTTCACACTCCCCCCATCCCTATCCTCTTTACTATTTTAGTACTAGGTACTTGGTGCCAAGGGCTAGTCACAAGCAAGGGACATGTGAAGCTTAGAAAGAAACCCACTGCCTCCCCCTCAGCCCAAGCCCCTGGAAGAAAAGACATAGTCACAGGAGGGGCTTGAAGACAGATTCTTTGTGTGGGCCCAGCCCAGAGATGAAGAGAACTAATGAATGTGATCTTCCTTCTTACTGTGGTCCCAGCACCTACAAACCCTCTTGTTTTAGACTGGTACTAATATTCCCCTTCTTCCAACCAATGAACTTTTCCTCTTCCTCTTCCTCTCAACCCCCACCAGTCACCTGCCCTTCCAGCTCTGCCTGGCCTTTCCATTCCATTCCCAGGATACTCTCCTTGTGAGTTCCAAGTTCCGCCACCCAAAGCCAGATCAGTGGAGACCTTTGCAGTGTTGGGAAAGAGAATAAAAAAGAAGGGGAGGAGAAAGTAGGGGAGAGCTGTGGAGAAAAAGCAAGTCATTCCAGCTTCAAATTTTTCACCTTTTTTTTTTTTTATTATGACTCACGTATACAATACAAAGTACTTGGACCAGGAACAGGGTTGTCGGGACACAAAATCTACATTCATAGCTGGACATAAAGACAAATGACCAAAAATTATTATTATAGATATATTTTAACGTTTTTTTTCCTTTCGAGCACATTGCATAAACAGAGAATTCAAGACATAGTTAACTATACATTCAGTGCAGTTCAGTTCTATTCTACTAGGGTTAGAAGCACAATAAAAGCGCACAAGACCGGCGGGCTAGGCAGTCTCAGTTGTTGGGTTTTTTCTTAGTGAAATAAGCAGCAACAAACACAATAAAACCGCATTACGAGTACTCTCAAAGCAGGATTTCTTTCTATAGGTAGTGATAAAATACGTGGAGGTTTCTTTCTTTTTTTTTTCATTTTTAGTTTTTTTTCTTTTTTTTTTCCTCCTGTTGTAGGAATTTTTTTTCTCTTTTCTTTTTCAAGATTATTGCAGGTTCCCTTTAGGTAGTATGTCAGAGATTTAATATCGGTATATTATTTTCATGATTATGGTGATTTCTGAGCACAAACACTAATGCAGCTCAGAGGAAGGCGGGCCCAAAAGAACAGAAATCAAACAGCAAAGGCAAGGAAGGTGTGGGCCCGAGTGAGTATGGGATGGCTAGGTAGGATTTTAGAGACCACTGCAGGCCCCTATTGACCCCTTAGGCAGGGGGTAGATAGACCCACATCTCCTTCAGATCCCCATCAGGTTCCTGAAGAAAGTCAAGGAGGTTTTCTAAAGAGGGAGCCCAGGGAGGGGGAGGGGACCTTCCTTGCTATCTTTTATTTTTTTCTTTAAATTTTCCTCTTTTCCCTTCCTTTCTTCATTTTTCTTCTTTCCTTTCATTAAAAAAAAAAAGAGAGTAAATCCAGTACTCTAATTCTAGCATACAAGCAAAGTCAGGAGTCCTCTTCTGGATCTTGAGTGGGCTCCCCTTTAAATATCAGATGAACACGGAGGTGGGAGTATGGAGAGAAATGGGGGGGGTCAGACTTTAAAATCCAGGAAGGACTCAGGAGGTGGGAATAGGAATAAGTGGGTGTGTGTTGGGCAGGGAGTGGAACAGTGTTGGAACTTTTCGCTGTCTGTCTCCCCCCTCCAGCCCCCAAACAAATAAAGACAGAGGGAAGTGCAAAGGTAATAAAAGCAGAGCTGCAAGTATCTGACAGGTAGTTAGAGTTGTGTCATTCTATTCTCTATAAAAGCAAATGACAGTCGTAAACTTCTCAATTTATCTGCTACCATAAAACAAAACTTCAAGGGAGTTGCTAAAAGGGGGGCTTTTTCTCTTTTGGCTCAGTCCTTGTTTTCCTCCTTTTCCTCTTCTTCCTTCTCCTCTTCCTCATTCCCTTCCTCCTCCACCTTCTCCTCATCTCGTGCTCCAGGCAGTTTATCCTTGTTGTTTTCTTTTTTCCACTTCATCCTTCGGTTCTGGAACCAGATCTTCACTTGTCTCTCGGTCAGTCCCAGGGCGTGAGAGACTTCAATCCGGCGCTTTCTTGTCAAATAAGGATTAAAGAGAAACTCCTTTTCTAGTTCCAAGGTCTGATACCGGCTGTAAGTTTGCCGTCCACTGCGCCGCCCCGGAGCTGGACAGAACAGAACCCCAGTCTGGTTATGTCTGGGTTGGGGATCCATTTCCCCAGCTACTCTGCCTCCTTTAAATTTCCCCCTCTGGTCTCCCCAGTTCTCCCTCCAGAGGATAGGGCCGACAGCGGAAGGCAAGCAAGGGCAGGAAAAGTTTGGATGGCTGTTTTGGTTTGGCTTCACCTTGGGAGGTGGGCGAGGGTTGTGGGTAGGGATGGGGCTGTCTGGAAAGTAAGGGCTTGAGGGGGGCCAAGGGAGCCTGGCAGAATTCTCCAGGCCTACAGCCCCTGGAAACTGGCCCTTGCAGCTTTGTTTACAAGTACAGAATGGCATTTAGTGAGCAGGACTAGGGACACAATCTGTTTCCAAAAGAAAGGAAAAAGGTTGGGACTAAAGGAAAGGGGCTCTGCCCACTGCCCCCTCCTTGCCTCACTCTGCCTAATGCTTTTCCAATAAGAAAAATAATTGATCTCTTGAACTGTATCACAGCTCTGCCTGATTGCTAACTGGAGACCAGCAAATAAATCAAGGGCCATCCCTGCCGGAACTTGTCGCTTTACAGCGTCCCCCTGTACTTCGAAATTGGGCCCTGAGGGGCCACCCTTGGAGGAGCTCATGACCTGAGCCACTCTGCAAGAGACCCCCATAGTTCTTGATTGGAGGTTAGCCTGGCTAGGGTCCTCTCAACCTCAGCGACCCCTAATCTGTGTGCCGTTCTCTTTCTGATCATGCTTCCTCTTCTCAGGCTCCCTGTTTTCTGTCTAACTGGAGGAAGTACAGAAAAGTTGGGGTAGTGGCCTTCAGGCTGCTTCTGAGCAGAGGCAGTGGAGACCCTAGAGAGCCTGAGTATCTGTCCTTGTGGTCTCACCACTGTCTCTGGCTAAAGAAGAGGACAAGGGGGGGTCTCCTTTCTACCTAAGGCAGTCTGGCCACAGTCTTAGACTGCTGACTCTGTCTTTGGGAGAACTGGCTATCAGCTCCAAAGACTGATAACCTCAGGTTCCTCAGGGTACCCTTGCAAGCCACCTCCCCAACTTTGACTTTAGAAGTGGGGAGAGGGAGAGATAGAAATGGAGGAAACGATTTTAACTCTTTGCATCCACACATCACCTTTTCCCCCACCTTCACCCTACTCCCCACAATGTCTCAGGCGTCCCCCCCCGCCCCACCCCCAACCAAGCCTTCCCAACCTCCAGGAACCCACCCAGGCACGGGGGGTGGGGTGGGAGAGACCCCCAAAGCCAAGAGGGAAAGCGAGGGCAGACAAAAAGGAGGCAAGGGAGGGGGGAAGACCCCGGAGCGCGGGAGACCAAGGAAAAGAGAAAAGGCTTCTCACCGTGGGGTCTCATCCATGGAAACATGAGGCTGGGAGACGAGTTTTGATTTAAGTGGCCTTGTCCTTCGCTACTGTTAGTGTTGGCGGAGGATTTACAGTCGGGATATTGCACCACGCTCGCCTCTTGCTGAGCCCCATAAAGGGACTGTCTGGGGAGCGCCTCGTAGCCATAGAATTTGGAGGCGTCTCCGTGGCAGCTCAGCGAGCACGGGTTCTGCTGGTAGCCCGAGTTGGAGATACCGGAGGTGCCGTGGTGGAAGAAGTCTTGGACGTGGTGCGAGGCGTGCTGGAAGCCCGGCGCCGAGCCGCCGGGCCCGTACACGAGCGCATGGCTCCTGCCCACGCTCTGGGGGAACCGGCAGTCGTAATAGGCCGGTTCCAGAGACTCGCCGCCTTTGTATTTGGAGAACAGGGGGTTGACGAAGTAGGAGCTCATGCTGGGTTCATGAAACCCGCGGCCCCCTCCCCTTGGCTCCCGGCTCCCCCGCCCGGTACCCTCGAATCTCCCCTCCCCCCGGGACCGAACCCCAGGCCGGCTGGCTCCCGGCTGGGCTGCTGCGCTGGGGGCTGGGCAGGTGGGGGCCTCGGTGGCGGCTCCGGGCTCGGGCGCGGCGGCGGCTCTGCTCACTGTCGGTAGGTAGAGCTAGCGCTCTCACTTAGCTCTCCCTTTAACAGCCCAGGCGAATTCCTCAGACTCCCGGCGGTGGCTGCGCTTACACGCGATTCGCGTTCATCAATCCACGACATGAAGACAGGCGAGCGAGCGAGCGAGCGAGCAAGCGAGGGAGAGAGAGAGGAGAGAGAGAGAGTAGATAAACACCCAACAGAGAGAGAGAGAGAGAGAGAGAGAGAGAGAGGCAGAGAGAGAGAGAGAGGGAGAGAGGGAGAGAGAGAGTTGAGGGGTTCAGGGCTGGGGGGGACCTGGATGAAGGGAGGGAGGAGAGGGGAGGGATGGGGGTGTGGTGTATGTAGGGGTGGCTAGCCAGTCCCAGCTAATGGCCGAGGCCAGCTTTTCCTGGTACACAGTCCGATTTGAAGATTTGTAGGCACTCCCCCTTCACTTCCTTTCTTTCTGAGAGGCACCTGAGCCAGCAGGTCAACTCAGGTTACCTCAACAGGTAGAACACCCCAGGGGATGAATGTTAGTAAGCAGAGCCCTTAACCTTAAAAGTGAGCTCCCTAGGGGGTCCTGAAGACTGGGGACTTTGAGAAGCAACCACATCTTGTCCCCCAGATCCTTCGGGCTGCAGACCCGGCAGCCTCTGGCCCCTCCCCAGAGTCTGAAGCTGCCCTGTCCTCTTTACATGCTTGAGACTCTGTCCTTTGACTGCTATGGGTAGAGAACACAGACAGGGGGATAGGGGCACTCCACATACTCCAGTAGGACCACTGCCCCTTCAGACAACAGCCCCTATAAGGAGCAGGAAAATCAAGCAAGCTTGGCTGGGGATCTGAGAGCAAGCTGTTTATGGGGACTAAGAGAGGGATAGCTTGTGTGCTCCTGGCACAAGGCCTGCATAACCCACGACATTTTTTTCTTAGGAATTATTTGTACCTGGGCTGAAGGGGGCAGGAACAGGCCTCTTACTGGGCCCCATGTACCACCACCTCACAGGAAATGCCAGCTCAGTCTGGAGGGGCCCTCTGGCTTCCCTGTACCCACCTCTTCTCCAGGCAGGCCACCCAGGCCAGGATGTGGATGGGAACTGTCAACAGACACTCTTTAAATATTTACCTACACTTTCTCTGGGGGCTCCCCCATCCCCAAGACTGGACAAATTCAAGTTAATTCTAATGGAAAAAAGAACCTTGGTCCATCAGCATCCTTCCTTGGCCAAAGTATCTATAGTTATTTGGGCTTAACACAGAGAGAAAGAGAAGGTATGAGAATCTCTCTCCTCTCTCTTTCTCTGTATGATGTGTTTATGAATGAAGATGAATAAGTAATTCTTCCTGTGTCCTCCTGCCATAGTGTGTGAGGCTGTTACACATAGGGCCACCCTGGAGCACATTAAGGACACACACACACACACACACGCATGCACACTGTGTACTATGCTGCTACCCTCTTAGCCTAAGACATCAAGCATGTGCTCATTTTACACTACTGTACATATTCCTGGAAGCAGCCTCATCATCTCACAGATTGGTACACACATGGGCACACCATGCTTGACAAACAGGTACATTTTCAGGTCTTTGCACAAAGAAAGAAATAAAGAGAAAGAAAGAAAGAAAGAAAGAAAGAAAGAAAGAAAGAAAGAAAGAAAGAAAGAAAGAAAGAGCAAGCTACCTGTTTCCCTTCCACATCCTGGGGTTTCAGGGTTGGATGAGAAAGGAGGTGGTTAGAAACCAGTTCTTTTCCTTCCCCTTCCCCATCCTACCCAGATCCCAGCTCTTGGGAACAGAGGAAAGAAGAGCAGTGTAGGACAGGCTAGGAGGAGCAGCACTCCCCTGTCCCTCTATTATCTAAATAATTATTGGGAAAATGGTCACTCTCAGCCAGATTCTTAGAGGCAATTGATTCACTGGTGTCCCAGTAAGAGACACTACCAGATCTTTTGCATTTAGGGGGATTCACCGTCATTTGACTTAGGAACTGCCCAAACTCTAAGACACATAGCTCTAGCCTTGAAGCAGCAGGAGGGAAGGGTCAGAGCAGGGTTGTGCCCAGGCTGTAGGCCTCTCCAGAGTCCAGAACAGTGGAAGGCACCCCAGAGCATCTCCGCCTGGACCAGAGGGTACTGCGTCCTAGACCCAAGTCTTCCTGATCTGAGAGTGCCTACACGGGGTGCAGAGCTGAACAGGATGGACTGTGGGTTCCCAGCACCTGGGTCACTGTGGACTGTCATAAATACTTTCTCTTCTCTTCCTGGAAGGAGGAGGCTCACAGGGCTAGAGCCACTCTGGGGCCTGTGCCTTATCTTTTAGGGGGTGGGGGTCTATTTCGACATTTTATGGTCCAGAAAAAAACCCTGCCACAGAGCTATTCTTCTGAGCTTTTGTGTCTTGGAATGCGACTGTCCCGAGTGTTTGCCGCCACCGCGCCTGCTCAGAGAACCCACCAGTTCGTTCCGCAAGCCCTGACCGGACTTGGTTTCCCCTCTGGAGGGCTTCTTTCTCGTTTATTTAATATATATCTATAGATATATAGATACTGCCTTTGCTTAATTTTGCTCCCAGTGTCTGGAAATAAAGGAAGTAACCGCAAGCAGTCATCCTCGCCGGGAGTCTCTGTCCCTCTCCCTGAGGCCTGCACCACCCTCTTAGGTACCACAGATTTATGTTCTTTCCTCCGGGTCATTCCGCCTTTTTGTGTTAATTACCCGCGGCCTGCTTCGCACTTATCTCCACAAGCGATTATTTTTGATGCCTGCCCTCTTTCACCTACCGAGCTCTCTGCCAGAGCGAGGGCCCATCTCCTGCTGCCACTAGCGAATTATTTACACCTCGCAGGTGAGAGGATTGATTTGCTCAGAGCCAGTGGGGCCGGGCGGGATCTAGGCGAGGGGCTTTCTGGCGGAGGCTCCCAGCCTGGCCTCAAATGTCAGTGGACCAGGCTGGCCGGGGACACCTCTGCCTCTAACATTGAGCAATAGCGCCACCTCGCGTCCATATGCTCCAATGCAGTCCAGCTGAGGAAATGCCAGCAGAGGTCTCGGGCTGGGCTGAAAGGTGGGAAGTTGGGAGCAAGGAGCTTCTAAACTAAGCTAAGGGGTGGGATTCCCAAGTAAGTAGTTGCCCTGGGACCTCCTGTTATTTGGTTTTGAAATAAACCTTGAAATAAACCTTGTAATAAACCTTGTGAAAGGTCTCACACTGTTCTACCGTTTTGTTACCCTCCCTGCTGGAATTGAGACATTGTGCAAAGGAATAGCCTCAATCTCCTCCTTCCAGGCGTTTTTCCTGCCTAGAAGCACCTCTGTGCACGCAGATACACCACCCAAAGCTCCCACGACCTCCTGCCCCCAGCGCGCACCCTAAAGCCCTCGTTCCTCTTACCCTGAGGCTGGCCCCGCACCGCCTATTCCGCCGCGCCGCCTGCAGGATTTTGGGGTGGGACTCTGACTTCCCCAGGCTGTTTGCCCCTGCTTACATGTAGCCCACCTCTCCCTCCCAGCCAGCGAAGTCCCGTTCGCCCTGGGCCATAGACAAAACATTCCTATAATCCGATTTCAAAGGAAAGAGTGTCCACCTTATTTAAACCATAAAACAATTAAGCCCAGACGTCTAGCCAGCTCCGCGCTGCTGTTTTGTTCGGCCCCATTCAGAATCCAGAGCAGAGAGACAAACAGGGCCATAAAAGTGGCATTTCTGGGCTGCGGAAATGTACCTATCCGCTGCCTTCCCAAGTGGAACAACCTTTAGGGTTTTGTGATTCCGACAAAGGAGCAGAGGAGAGGTGGGAGGGAGGATGAGGGGAGGAGGGCGTTTGTTAGCCCCTCCTGGCCTGCTTTCATTTCTCTCTCCAGATTTGTGTCGTGTGTGTTGTTTTAATTCATAAGTGGTAATGAATAAAATCTAATCTAATCCTGACACAGAGGCTGGAGGTTGGGACTGAACAGTGGGCGTACTACAAATACTCATTCTGCTCGAGGTCCTCCAAGCCCTGGGGCCCTCTTTCCTGCCGACTGCAAGGCTGGCTCAGGCCTGAAAGCTTCAGGAAGCAGGCCTCGCTGACCGACGCCAGAGGAGGCCACAGGGCCTTAGGAGCAGGGGCGGGGTGGAGGCCCGGAAACTGCGCCTGAGCTCAGGGACAGAAGCCGGCATCCTGGTGGTCCAGACCCAGGGAGAAAAGGGCATCTTGGCTTCCATCAAGTGTGGAACTTAGGCCAGAGTTACAGAAAACAGAAAGGCCAAAGGAAGAGTGAGAAAAAATAGAAAACTATAGGCAAAGCACCTTTGCAAAGAACCAAGAAAACAAAGCTTCTGGAGCTGGGAGAGAGGTCCCTTAAAGCAGGAAAGAGGGCCGTCGAATGTATCTATCAGCTGCAGTTAAGTCTGTTGTGTCTTAATTCACTCCCAGATACTAAGGAAACTTTCCCATCTTCTTCCAGTCCTCTAAATTGGAGTGGTTAATGGAAGGAGAGGATAGGAGATTCAAATAATGGGGCAGAGGCTGTTCCCACAGTGTCCACCAATCCTACTAGGGATGCTCTGGAGGCAACACATGTCTGGAGTCCCCAGTTATATTTTTTAGGTGGTGTCCTCTGAGTATTCAGAGTGACACCCTGTGTCCTTGGCAGAGTGGACAGCCTGAGATATTAAAGGACTATATTTCAAGCAGTCTGATTTTAATAGTTTCCAGATTGGGGGATTTCCTAGAAAGGGGGTGCTGGGCCGAGGCATACCTAGCAACTCTGCTTCTGATTAGCAGATGAACACTGCTAGCTCTAGAGAAGGAAGGTTCTAGAGAATGGTGTAGTGCAGCCAACTGGCCCCAACCAGGCTGTGACATTCATATGCCCACACCTTTGTACTTGGGGTCCAACAGCCACCGGGAAAGCACCTGGTTCCTGGTTAATCCCTAAGCGGCTTCCTTGGGGCCTGGCCTCCCCATCCCCTAGGGTACTGAAGCTGCTTAGTGTGACCCTAGTCACCCCCAATCAGCATTCAAACTAAACAGAGAGAGATGGAGAAAAAGAGAGGTAGAAGGAGAGGAGCTGGGAATGACTCAAGAAACTAAATTTCTGATTATATTGACTTTACTATTGTTTCCCCTCCCTTTTCATCTCTGCCTCCCTCCTTCTTTTCCTTTCTCTCTCCCCTCCCTTGTTTCTTTCTCTCTCCCTCCCTCCCTCTCCCTCTCTTTCAACCCTCAGTGGCTGCCCCCAGTGCCTATAACCAAGTGCTCCCTGAAGCCTGTGTGACCTCCGCCCCCCCCCCCAGCTGAATATCCCTGCCACTCTGCTTTTCCAGCCAACCCTGAAATCACTACAGTACCAATGCAACCAGGCAAGAATCCAGCCCGGGCCCTCACCCAGCACCCAACTTTCATCTTCACCTATCTCTTCTCTCCAATCTCATGTACTCATAAATTGTTACAATTAATTACAGCCAGAGAAAACCATTCATGCACACACACACCCCATCTAGCCACCAGGAAACTCATAAGCAGCCAGCCTGGTCAGGCACAAGCTAGGCCTTCACCTCAGCAGCCTCCACCCCTCCCCTAGAGCCCCCACCCCCTTACTCTGCCCCGCCAGGAAAGAAGCTGAAGAAGCTGAAGGCATTTGCCCTCCCAAGGTAGAGGGAGCCCACTTCTCTGGCTCCAGCCTCTCCTAGGGGATTTGAGCACTTGCCTGGGAGCTACAGGGAAGAGAAATAAGGAGGACTAGATGCAGTTGTTTCTTTTTTAAGTGACTTCAATATATTAACACAGAGCTGTTCTACCATAACAAACAGAAGCACGTTACAAGACGGTCGCTGGGGAGGGATGCTGGGGGTGAGAAGGAACACAGCTATATACACGCCTGAGGCACCAGCCTGCCTTCACCGCCCGACCTAGCCGGCAGCATGGTCCAGCCCTCGCCCCTCAGCTCCTGGGCTAGGAATCATCGTGTGTGTCTTTTTGTACGAAATCTGCACGCAGAATGCCCAAGGCCTGGGAAGGAATGACCCAGACCAAATATGATACAGAAAAAAAAAAGAGATGTAAAAGTATACCAATTCAAGTACTGACTTCTCAGAAGAAAAAAGGAAGAAAAAAATCACATTTGTGTGTGTCATTTATTTCGGTTGCGCTGGGGGAAGAGAACGCGGTTTCTCTCCTGCCTCCTCCTCGCTGGATAGAACTAACTCTAAAACACCAATTTCTCAACATTTAACCCTCCCACATCGCAAGAGTTTTCCTTTCCCCTTCCTTTTTGTCTTTTTAAGCCGATGGGCTTTTCTCTATCTTGCTCTTTCCTTTCGTGCTTTCTCCCGCCTGGGCTGGGGCATTTTTGTGGGGTTTTGTTTTTCCCTTGGCTGTGCCGAGGCAGCAGGCTGGGGCAAGGCTTAAGATTGCTCCTTGTCGGTTTTTTCTTTATTCATCTTTTTCATCTTCATCCTCCGGTTCTGAAACCAGATTTTGACCTGCCGCTCAGTGAGATTGAGAACCCGGGCCACCTCGTACCGACGGTCCCTGGTTAAATACATATTGAAGAGAAACTCCTTCTCCAGTTCCAGCGTCTGGTACTTGGTGTAGGGGCAGCGCTTCTTCCTCGTGGAGCGGGCGTGGATCCAGTTGGCCACGGGATTGCCTGGAGGGCCAAACACAGGCAAGGGTCAGTAGAGCCCCTTTCCAGCTCAGGACTTCTGTCACTCCACCCCCTGGCTTAGTTAAGATCCCCAAACCTAATAATTGAACCTGAATTTGGACAGGTTTTGCTTTGGGAATTTTCCCTTCCTTCTGTTGCATTCTGCCTCCTCCCTATTACCCCTCCCTCTTCAGTTTCCAGCACCTAAAACTGTAGGAAATCCGAAGCTATCAAAGCCCCCAAAGTCTGCTTCTCAGCTTCAAGAGTAGTAATTCGAGAATATCCTCATAAAAAGTCCAAATTCCCAACCGTTTCATAGGCCCATAAACGCTTCTCTCTCTTGTTTTTTATTTTTATAGCAAGGTCCCTCTCCTCCCCACCTCCCTCCTCCTCTGCCCCCTCCCATCCTCACAGCCCAGGACAAGTCCTGAAATTTCAGCATTTGTGCTCCTCATCCTCAGTCCCTAACCCTCACCTCTCTCTCCAATGCCCATCTTCAGCTCAGAGTTCAACCCTGCTGAGGCGAATTCTCAGGGTGATGCTGGGATAAGGAAAGCCTTTCTCTTCTCCTCAGAGCTGCTGGCCTTGGGGACAGGCTCCCCCATATCTTAGCCTCCCTGTTGGCCTCCAGTGCCCCCCTCCTGCCAGCCCCTGGTCAGGCTCTGCAGGAGACAAGCCTCCAATTTCAGGTTTATGGGAGTAGCTGAGGGCAAGCAGGGAAGTCTTCAGAGGGGTGTAATTAGGCCCTGGCCCCTTATAGGGCTAGAGGAAAGATTTCCTGAAGATTCCTCCTGGGGGTCCCCCTGACACTTCCTCATACCCAGGGGGCTGGCACCCCACCCCTGCTGTTTTTCCTTCCTTCCCTTTCTCTGACCCTGCAGCTCACACCTGCCCCCCACCTCCTCACCTAACCTAGCCAGCCCGTCTCTCCTGATTGGTGTGTGAGTGTGTGTGTGTGTGTGTGTGTGTGTGTGTGTGTGTGTGTGTGTGTGTGTGTGTGTGTGTGTGTGTAATTCTTAATCTGGAGAGATGCCTTCTTCTGTTCCATCCATATTCCTGACCTTCATTCCCAACTCTTTCTCCTGTGGACGCTGAAAAGTGGGTTCTCAAGTTTAAGGAGACTCGGACCTTAGTTCTCTCCCACTTATGCCTGGAAGTCCTGATCCAAGTTCCCAGGCTGTGGACCTCCAGATCCCTTCTCCTGGGGGAGACATCAATGGACCTTCTGTTTTATGAATCCCTAGTAAGGGGAAGAGCCCCATGCTAACTGCAAGGTAGGGAGAATTTTTCTCCCTGAGGTTATTTCCTCTGCTTCAGGAGTCCTCACCTCTGCCCTGTCCCATCTCCAACCACAAAATGAACCTCAGCCCTCTGCCAGCCCAGCCCCTGGCCCTGTTTTCATTTCTTCTAAAGTGACCAGAGAGCCAAAACAGCCTGGACTTGGAGGGGGGAACAGGGGTCTCCCTTCAAACCCAGCCCCTGGGTAAGAAGCCCTGTGGCCAGCCCTCTCCCAACCTGGCTGCCTGGGCCCCCTTCTCAGACCTTCCTGTGCCTGGAAGCTCCCCAAGGTAATTTGCTTTTATTGAGTCCTCGCCCCCTTGCCTCTCTCCCGCGCTCCCTGGCCGCTCCAAGGGGCTGTAATCCGCCTCCCCCCGCCTGTCCTCCCCTCCCCTCCCGGGCCGGTTGTAAAGGAAAATTGCTCCCAACTTACTGGGGTCCAGGTCGGCCTTCTCCTCTTTGTGCTTGCTGCCGGCGAGCGCGTCCGCCTCAGGCGAGGGCAGTGTCTGCGGGGCGCGGTCGCGCAGCTCCCCGGGAGAGCCGTACATGTAGTCCGGGTAGCTGCGGCCGTCGCCCGGGCCGCAGTCAGCACGGCGCCCGGGGTAGGCGTCCGGCTTGAGGGCGTAGTGACGGCCCCCGGCGGGGAAGCTGGGGAAGGAGACGGCGCCGGACAGCGGCTCGAGCCAAGTCCGCATGTAGCGCGTGTCGGCGCCGAGGTGGGGCTGGGGGCCGTACGGGTGATAGACCACGGACGACTGCGAGGGCACGGGCGCCCACGACGTGCTGAACACGGCCGGCTTGGGCGCGAAGCTACAGGACGGAAAATCGCTACAGTCCGGCACCAAGCCGCTGGGTCTGGCGGCGGCCGGGTGAGCCCCAGTGGCCGGAAACCTGGACGCTAGGAGGTCTTCATTGTCGTGAGAGATGAGCGAGTCCACGTAATAGTTACTGATGGGCCCCGTCGCCGACATCGTAACGGGGTTTTACATACATAAGATTATTGTATGAACTGTATATGTACTTTTTATCTGCTCACAGAACAATCAAGGCAGGTAATTATTTTTCCAGCCTTTTCCCGGCAGCTCATTGGTTCCCCAGCCCCCACGTGATCGTATTTACCCAAAAATACGGCGCGGATCAATGCGCAGGGGCTTTTTTTCCCCTTGCTTTCCAACCCCCCACCCCCTTCTCTCTGCTGATCCCCGCGACCTGCGTTTTCCTGGGGGTCTGCCACTCTGGACCCAAGGCGCCGGCCAACCCCTCCCAGGACGACCCGTAGCTCATCAGGGAACCCCCCCCTTGTCCATGTGCAACCATAAGCAGATGGCTCCCCCCTACCATGAGGATTTTTTTTTGAACAGGGTGAAAAAGCCAGTCCCAGAAGCCAGGGTTCCCGGACCCCCAGGGCTGAGCTGGGCGCGGGAGACCCACAGGGGCGGGGAGGCCGGCCGAGGTAGGTGGAGGAACTATTTCTTGACGTAATCTGTCTCTGTCGGCCCCGACGCTCCCGCAGTCTCTGAGTGAGCCAAGATCAGCGATTGTCAGTTCAGAACGTGGCTTTTAAAAATGCGTTTTTAAATACTGTGTATGTATGTATTTCTTTCAGGAGCAGCAGCAGCAGCAGCGGCGAGGGAGGGAGGGAGGGTGGGAGGGGACTGAACAAGCTGGGGATGGAGGGAGGGAAGGAGGGAAAGGGGAGAGTCCTTCTGCCACTGGTCAGCTCAGCCCCCCAAATCTAGGGTAGGGGAAACTTGGGGAAGGTGATCTGTGGGTGGGAGGGGTAGAACTTGGGGATCTCACACACCTTTGTCATCAGTCTCTGAAGTCTTTTCGCGTTGGCACAGATATACAAGGCGCCTTTATTTTAAATTTATTGTCTTTATGTTTCTTTGCTAGGTTGAAGAAGTGGAGGAGAGATCGACAGAACTTAACTGGGGCATCCCCATCCGGTCTGCCTGCTCACCCTTCTCTGCCCCCCATGTCCATTTCTGCGACACTCTTCCCCCCCAAAAAAGAAGTCTCTCGGAGGTTCTGTCTGCAGAGAGCCAGGGTGAGAGCAGACAAGGCGAAAGAGCGACCTCGGTCGTGGGCAAGTAGCTTGTTTTTACATCCTTCAATAAAATTTTTATGAGGATCATTTGATTGTTCATAAATGTGTCTTTCATTAAATAAAATTGTAAGCTGTTTTTGGAACAGGGAAAAAGCAATGTAGGCAAGGGAGAAAGCAGTTTCTTTGAGGTCGGATGCAGGAATTCAGGAGGGGGCAGTGTGATTGCTGGAAAATATCTGACAACTTGGATTACACCCTCCCCAGAAGTTAATTGCTACCCTCCCCCTTGAATTTGGGGTTTGTTGCACAGCCTAGGCTTTCCAGCATACTGCCTGCCCCACAGTGGTTTAGGAAATAGAGGGCTGTAGGAAGGGAGAAAAATCCTCAGTATGGGTGCAGGAGAGGGGGAAGGGAGGTTGGATGAGGGAGGGGGAGAGGGGTTGCAGGTGACGTCCCAGCGACACGGTGCACCTAGGCAGGACCAAATGAGTCTGAAGGAAGAGTGCAGTCTCAGGGTCAGGGGGAAGAGTCTGCGCAAAGGGGAAACAGGAGCTGAGGCTAGGATGCTGCCTCAGAAGGCTGCAGAGCAGTTTCCCAGACCCAGGCACCCCTGCCTTCTTCCCCTCTCCTGTCCCCAGGACCAGATCAAACGCCAAGGAGCAGCTTTTCTCTCACATCTCTGTCCTCTAACTCATCCAAGGTAGATAAGGGCTGGACAGGGTGGTATATATATATTGGGGGGGGCAAGAAAGTTGGGGAGAGGGTACAGCTGCTGCCCTTCCTACAGGCTCAAGCAAGGCAGGACCCTCCCCAATTCTGACTCCCCCTCCCTCTGGCTCTCTGCTTTTTGGTCTATCAAGGCTGGGATTTTGAGGCATGGGGTGGGGGGGGGGCAGGGAAGTGTCTGGTTGAAGAGAGGCACTGGGGCCTCAGAGTAATCCTCCTCAACTCAGACTGCTTTCTCCTTTGGGCTTGACTAGCTGGAAAGCCCAAATAACAACAAGAAACAGAGTATCTCTTTGGCCTTGATGTAGTCAGGTTAGCTGTCAATCAAAAAATCTCCCTCACTAGTTCAAGAAAAAGACAGGAGGTTCCAGTCGCTCCGCGGAGGCTTTCTCCAAATCGCCAGCGTGGTCAGCACCTCCCCCTGCCTGGGTGTCTGGGGACCCGCCTGGCTCTTGGAAGGCTGCTGGCAGCGGTGAGCAGAGACAAGTAGTCTTCAGCGGGGCCCTGGGGCCAGACTGCGACCAAGGACATCAAGGGATAGAGCCTAAGAGAGACTGAGCCTGAGACAGGCCAATTTAAACAGTAGCCAGGCCCGAGGAAGGAAAGATAGAAACGGAGGGTTAGGATAAAGAAGAGGAAAGGGTGAATTAAAGGAAAGAAGGCGGGCAAGATAAAAGGAGATAGGAGAGCGGGGAAAGGAAGAGGCGCGGAGAGCAAGGGAGGAACCGGGAGCAAGCCGCAGGCAGGACAGGACAGAACTGGCGGAGCAGCCGTGGCATTGTGCAGTTTGCTTGCCGGGCCTTTGCCGCGGGACCGCTCCGGGCGCGGCGGCCACTTCTGTCTGGACACAAAGGAGGAGGAGGACTCCTCTCCTGCCCCTCCTGAGGGACCTGCTCTTGTGGGTATACCAGACTTCCGGGATACAGACTCCCATCTTAGCCCCACGGCGGCTCAGGGCCAGGGACTGAACCACGGTCCAGTCAAAGAGTAAGAAACGAGGGAAGAGACCTCAAGCCTGCCCTTCCTTTACATCTTTGCCAGGAGACAGGGCCTGTCTGCCCCCACCTCAGCTGTTCTAAGGGAAGTCCTTAAGGGTCCTCTCCGATGGGCCTCTGCTGTTTGGGAGAGCCCCTCATATAGACATCTTGGCTGCAATGAGACACTCCCTTTTCTTCTTCCCTCCTTGATCACTGCTTTCTTTTCAACTCTTGAGCCGCCTGCACACCCAGCCTGCCTACATAGTGGAGGCAGCAGCAGCCTGGCAGCCAGGAGCACCATCCAGGGATCCCTGCAGCCATCAAATTTCCTCTAAGCCAAAGACATTGTGGCCTTCCCTTCCTTTTGGGAACAGGAACTCCAGACCCTCCCCACTCAGGCATAGCTGTGGATCAGGAAGCAGGTCTCACCCACAGCCCCCTCCTGGCCAATGCCCCGTTCTCCCTATGCCTGATGGAGAGAGAGAGAGGCAGCCTTGGGGGGGGGGGTCTGACAGAGACTGGGAGTCCAGAGTCCACTAGGTCCTGGTCCTGCAGGTTCAACAACTGCCTGTGGGTTGTGGTACCCATTCTCCACATTTGGAAGCAGAATGGCAGGTCAGGACTATGCAGTGGGCTTTCAGGTTTCCCCTAAATCCCAGCCTGTAGATGTAGGGGTGCAAGGATCTAGGGATACCAAGGAGGGGGATCTGCTCTTCCTGGGGTTCAGTTACTCCTGCTGAATCTCCTACCCTATTCCAAGACTCCCTCTCACCCACATCACACCACTCCTTTCAGTTTTCCTGAGCACACTGTGGCATCCTGAATGACCTGAGGATTCCCTGTTGAGGAGGGGGAACCCTAGCTCTAACTGATGGGTGGGTATTCACTCCACTTGGGTACTTAGTGGTCACATCTTCACATCTCACCCCCAATAGATTTCAGTGGGCACAGCAGTGCCCCTTGAGAGGAGAGGCACCCTTACTCTTTATCACCTCAAACCTGGACAAGTGAGACCACAACCAAGCCAGCATGGTGGGAAGGACAGACAGATAGGTTGGAGGCATCACCAGCCTCCTCCTGCGAGCGTCTCCCTTTTAATGATTTAAATTCCCTGCGGTTCAATCCACACCGTCAAGTTCGGATTAAATTTAAAACAGGCTTTTCCCGGTGCCCCCGGCGGGCCATCCCATCCGCCACAGGCTGGGAGCCTGCTCTATGCTCCTCTGCACTCGCCCAGGACCGAGGAGGCTCGGCTCCGTTTGCTTTCATTTTCCTTCTGCCCCCGAAATGGGCTCATTTCACCTCTCCGCTGCCCTCTCCCCTTCCCCGCCCCCTCCCTGGTTCCTTCTACTTTCCCCCCTTCTCTCTTGATCCCTCTTTGTTGGGCACACACACACACACACACACACACACACACACACACACACACTCCTAGCTAAGGCCTGCGCTGGAAGCAGAAATTGAGCTCTCCTGCCTGCCTCGAGGAGACCCGCGTCCTACTCCCACCCCAGGTGGGTATCTGGGATCCCAGCACACCAGGAGCCAGGCCCCCAAGCTCAGCAAGAATGAAACCCCCAGGGCCTGTGAACATGGTCCTCTCAACGCCATGGCTTGCCTGGCCTGCATTCGCGCCGGCGCCCCCGCCCTGCCGCTCCGCAGCAAACGGGGCCATTTCCGGCTCCCCCAGCACGGTCTGGCTTTCCAGCCTAGGGAGTGGCTGGAGGGGGAGCCGCCCCAGAACCCGGGCTGCGCTATGCTCCGAACCTCAGTGGCCCTGAGCACGTTGTTACCTGATCTTTTGTGTGATGTATGTGTCGCAAGGAAATTTGCAGTGACTTTGGAGCCCAGACTGAGGAAGCGGAGGTGGCGAAAGGAGAGACAATACAGGCTCGAAGTACAATTAAGGGGCCCGAGCCGCTGGTCTCTCCCCCCGCCCTCCCTGCCCGACTGGGAGGTGTCTAGCCTCAAACATCTCTGGGCGACTCGCAAACCTGGTGCCGGAAACTCAGCCCGTGGCCGAGGGAGCCAGAAGACTCCTCATCCAGAAAACAGGAGGAAAGACCCTTTCCAACTTGGGGTGCCATAGCCAGCCCCGCCGAGTTGCAGAGAATCCAATGAATGAAAGTACACATTCCGACGACGAATTTCCCCAAATTTTCTCAGCCTCCGGAAGGAGAGCCCAGGGATTTGGGAAGTCTCAGACAGACAGGCAAGCCGTGTCTCCCAAGGCAGACAGACTCACAACATGAGTGTGAGGCTGAAATCACACACAGGTTCAACATCCCAAGGCCTCCTACCCAGGCCCGGCGGACGCCGGTCTCCCTACCTTCGCTCCCGCCAGGGCCTCGGGCCCAGAAGACTCGGTCCCTCTGGCTTGGTCCAATCCCGCCTGGGGAAGCCTTCCTTACCTGCTCCTCGGCTCCCCACGGCCACAGATGCAGGGCAGCCGCCTCCCGCCCGGGGAGGGAAGCCCTGGCCACCGCAGCCGCCGCCACCCTCCCTCCTTCCCTCCCTCCCTTCTTCCTTCGCCCTCCCTCCCTCCCTCCCGCGCTGCCGCTCGCAGGGCCCTCCCGCGGGCAACCTGCTCTGGACCAAATCCAGGTGTCTCCGAAAGAAAAAAGAAAAAGAAAAGACCCATAACAGCATTTATTTCCATGCTCTGATCTCTGGTCGGCCTCAGCCTAGACATCCGAGACCCAGCCCAGCATCCACAGAGGTGTGCGGGGCCTGCCACGAGGACCGCTGCGCCCGGCGCACAGCACGCTCCACACTCCCGGCCGCCGCCCCCCCTCCCCGGCAGCCCAAGCACCCAACAGACCTCAAGGTCCTTCCTACAGACTCAACATCCGGTTGCTCGCCTCGCGGCTGACCGCAGTCCCGGAGCCCGCTCTGCTCCGTCTGCGGCTGAAGTCCACACACAATCCACCTTGTCGGTGCTCTGGAGCCCTCGGCCCGGACACCCCCTCTAAGCCAGCCGCCCGCTGGGCTACACTTGGGCTGCGGTGGGCCCGAAACTTCAAACGTCGACCCCTGCACGGGACCCACACAAAGCTCTGCATGCTGGCCTTCCTATCCATAGCCCCCCCAGTTCCCGGCAGCCGCCTTTCTTTCCCGTCACCTGTTCCCAAGAAGGGTTGCGTCTCCGAGCGAGTGAGCTGAGGCAAGGCGGACGGCTGGGGTGAGATCCCAGGGAGGCCAGCAGATTATACGGGATGAACCTGAGTCCCCCGCTGCCAGCGAGACATCTCAGAAACCAAGGCTCTCCTTTGCGAGCTCTTGCCTTTTCCCTCCTTCTCCCGCAAGTCTCAAACACACGCCGAGAGTTCAGCTCTATAAATCCTGCTCCTCTTTCCCATATCATAATTAAAAAAAACCAGTAGGGGAGGTTTTAACTTTTATTGCGATTTCTAGAGTTGGGCTGTGGAGCATATATTAAGTTTACGCGTATGTGCTCTCGGCGGGGAGGGTCCTTTAAGAAATAAAAATCCATCTTAATATCCACAGACTAGGGAGATAATTTTTCCCTCCTCTTCACGCTGTTCCTTCTGAAGACTCCCTTCCAGCGAAGCGAATAAATAATTACCATCGCCTTAGCCATGATCCACAGGCCCTGAGCGTACTCTGACCATCAGACTGGCCCTCACCTTGGCCCTATAAGACCTTGCTCCAGTCCTCCTGATCTAGGGGGGAGAATGCCCTGACCCCTAGCTCTGTGGCCACCTCCATTAAGCCCACCAGCTTTGAAATGGAAATTGAGGCAAAGGGAGGCAAGGCATCAAAGTCCTGGATTGGTGAATTTCGGCCCATCGGGGAGACTTTTCTTAAGCCAAGTGCTCTTGTGCACCCTGCTCCTGCCGAGGCTCTCTTTACCTCAGCTGGCTGTACACCTGGGGAGTCTAAAGACTCAAGAGACTGCTGGGGGCTCCCAACCCAGGGAATCCCCTTGCATGCCTCCCACCAGCTGGTCTGCCTTTCTGGAAACCTCTCCATTTCCCTGGGAGCCATAGAGATTTGAATACTTCTCTCTAAGGGATTTTTTTTCTCCCACAAAAGGATGGGGGACAGAATGACAATTCAGTTGGAGAGGGGAAGACTCTATTCCTATTTTCTCCTCCAATGTCCATGGGAGATCAAAATAAATCAGAGAGATAGAAATAGACCTACATTCATGCAAGGTCACATCTATTTCCCTCAGCACACCATGTTGAGAATATAAAATTCTCCATGATGTTTTGTAAGAGACTTGATTTTATTCCCTGTTTGAAAGCTTATGTTTTCATAATCATAATTATTCCAAAATAAGAGGCCCAAGAATCTGCCCTCCTTTTTGGTTTCCCCTTTCCAGTATCTCTGAGAACAGAGGTGTCCCCCAGTTCTCTCAGACCCCTCCCCCCATTTTTCTCTGAAGGCAAAGAAACCTCTTTTGAAATCCTTCTCCCTAGAAAGCACAGCCAGAACTGAGGAACCTCAGGGAGACACAGTGGAGGAGCCCTGCAAAGTTTCTCATTGCTTAGATCTTTCTCTGTCCCTTCCCCTCCTGGCATTAGCCAGCAGCCTTCCCAACAAGATGGTAATGGTGGGCACTGGCAGTTTCTGTTTACCCAGACATTTCTACAGAATACAAGGACAGGCAAATGCCTAACAGCCACAGACTAGCAGCCACATAGATAGACCAAGGCCTACTGGCAACAGGCAGCTAGAGAGATCACAGCTGGGTTTTGGCCCTGATGATTCTCAAGAGGGTGTGTTCAGAAGGCTTCTACTTGGACTTGTGGCTCTCCTCTAACCTACTTACTCCCCACATATGTCCGTCCCCTGGAGATGGAACTATAGAGAGGAAGAGGAGAGCATTGGGCTCTCTCTTAGAGTTCTACAACTCTTGGAACATCAAGGGACCCACCTTTCTAAGGAGCATTGCTGTCTCTTTAGAGGTGGCAGGGAGAGACCACTCTAGAGACTCCCTTCTCTTTCCTGGAGCTCCTGGCTTTCTAATGACTCTGCCCCACCCTGCTACCTAACTGAGCTGGTCCATCAGGCCAAACTCAAACTCCTGAATTTCCTTGGAATTGGCTAGACCTTCTTTGTCTCCATCAGCTGAGCCTAGGAGACAATAGCTAAAACTCCTCTCCCTCAGTAGCAGAGATTGGGATAGGCTGAGGAGGTGATGGCCGACAGCAGGGTTCCCCAGACTTGCCCCAAGGCAGCTACTCACAGCCACATCTCCTCAGTCTGGACCCACTTTACTCTATATGGGAGGGGCTGTGGGGCAGTTCCACTGGGGAGGGGACAGTCAAGAGGGGGTGGATTGGGGCCCTCGACGAAAACCGACTGATGTAACTCAGGCAGTTTCTTGTTGCCGAGTTCAAAACTCAATCCCAACAACATGAAACTACCTAAGCCACAGATCAGCTGAGCAAGCAGGGCAGGAGTTTCGGGCTTTGTATCTATCCATAGGAGAAGGGAAGGGGCTTGAGGAAGGAAGAAATTCAGCCCCATCCTGCTTTCTGCCCTCACAACCTCTCTAAGGACTAAAGAGTAGATTCTGGGTGACTGGGCAGGCAGAGGGTCTCTCTCATTGCCTTATTAGTTTCCGGTATAAGCAAATAGCACTGGAAAATCTGGTGAAATGGGACACTAGCGGCCAAATCCCTGCCCCACCCCACCCCCAGCACTGCAGTCGGGCTATTCCCCTGCATCTGGCCCTGGCCCTAGGGGAAGCTGGAGTATCCTTCCACTCCAGAGCTGGGTCCCGTGTCTTGTCCATCTGGCTCTCCTGGGCTCTCCTTACAGACTCTCTGAGCCTCTTTCTGTCTTAGGCTTCTCAGCAAATATGGGTGGCTGAACCACAGCCCCTGGGCTCTGGGGCTACTTCCAATCAGACCACTTGTCCTGGCAAAGCCCTACTGCTAGGGAACACCAAGGACCAAGAGTGTGGAAGAGGCTCACACCCACACCAGCAAAAGGCAGGAAAACCTAAGCTTCAAGCTCCAACCCTCTCTACCTCCCCAAACATGCAACCGGGCTGAGAGACACCTAGACTGCTGTGTGAACCTCCAGGCGACCCTGAGTGCCTGCAGAGATAAAGAAGCCAAAACCACCAATTTACCCCTTTAACCATCGAACCCCACTGCAATGGGCCAGGGAGGGGAGGAGAAGGAGCTCACAGTCCCTGCCCTTCACTGTCAGGCGCTACAAGGCAAGCCGCGGCTCTCAGCAAACACAAATGCCTGAAACATCTTCCTCCCGGGCAGAGCCCGCTGCTCGCCAGGCACCTGGGGACACCACCAGTCCTCACTCCGCAGCCAAGAGAAGAGCAAGAAATCGCTTCTCCTACCTTGTCGCCGCCTCCTCCTCCAGCTGCTGCCGCGCTTCTGTTAGCTGCTGTCGAGGGTGGGGGCTGAGCTCCTAGTGCCCCTCCGGTGGTTAAGTTTATTCCTCAGTTTAGATGGGTGGGGGGCTCTTAGGGTGCCCCCCAGAAGCAGTGGGGGTGCACCCAGCTCAGTACTGAAGGCAATCAGATCCGTCTGCTCCTCAAGATTGCAGTTTGCTCTCTGCCTCTTTCCCTCCTCCAGTCACCTTTAAATGCATCTTTTACTGCAGCACCACATTATATTTGCAGATCATAAAATCCACCTCTCGCGCGCACCAAGACCGTCCTGACATTACTGTTTTATGACCTTGACTTATTGTGGTCACCTGGATAATATTTAAATCAACGTTATGGTCTCTCACTTACATTAAACCCGCCAAGAGACATTCTAGAAAGGCTGTAGGAGATGAGTCAAACACAAAACACACAGATCCACACTCTTAGCTTCTTTGGGGGAGGGAGTGTCGCTAAAAAAACACTAAAAACAAAAAAACCACCCATTTGAGGATTCAGATTCTGGAAATTTATTAGGATTTTTTTCTCCATTAAGGAAGCCACATGCAAAAGATACAACATACAGAATATCTTTAAATAACACAACTCCCAGACTGGGGCAGGGCAATGGGGAGCATTCTGTCTCCACTTTGCTATGATCTATTTTCAATTTTTTGTTTTCCTGGATGGAATTTCTAAGATGTTAGTGGATGGGAGATACAGGAGTGCTGGGAGGGGTGCGAGAAAGCAGAAAGCATGACAGATACAAGACTTCAAGCATATTCTCAGAGAGACTGGGCAGTAAAGACACCAAGAGGGTTTGGTAGAGATGCTGGGTGCTGTGACAAACACACAAATACTAGTCGAACTTTCAAAAACATCTATTATTCTAAGGGGGAAATGCAGCTAGGAAGGAGCGATTCTGACTGTGCTCTGCAAGGTTACAG